CGAGTATCCGAAGTTCATTAATTGGGCCACGTGTTGAGTGCAGATGGTGTTAAGCCAGACCCGAATAAAGTTGAAGCAATAATTGCTATGCCAACCCCAGCCAATCGTGAATACCCAAGAGGTAAAGAAGTACTCTTGATGGGATAGTTGGCACAGATTGCTGGAAATTTTACTTGAGAAGTTGTATTTCCATTTGACGAGAGTGAGCTTTGTCCTTGTGTTGAAGCAATTCTTCTTAACATAGAACTAAGTACTTGAGCACATTTGACTTTGAAAAACTGCATGTAGTTGCATGGTTCTGGGAAAATGAAAACTGTGATGGTGATATGAAAGCTGATCTAAAGGTAGCTTGTTGTTCCTTTGATTCAAAAACTTGTTTGGCTTTATTTCTTAATTCATTGGCACTGTCAGAGGGCTTCGTCTGGGCACGTAGAATGCTGTGGGTATTTTCAACAGGATGCTCATCAAAAATTGTTATGTAGTTACGAAGAAGTTTATAAAGTTGGGGTGAATGCTTTCCCCAGTGTGAGCACATGTTAAGCCAGACAAGTGGAGCTTTGTTGTAATGACGACGTTTAAGGCAGGTGAACATAATCCACATTCGAATCATCGCTCTGAAGTATTCTGAGAAATTATTAAGTTTAAAAGAAATGCTGGAAATAGAAAGAACTAAGGGTATGTAGTTGTCCAAAAGATTAAAAAGTGTTCCATACTCCGGATCTTTAAATCGCCAAAAAATTTTCATCACAGATTCTCGTATTAATGTCCATCCTCCGTAAACAATTTCTAAGAGCAAGCTGATCCAGGGTTTTGGATTAATTGTCTGCCAGTTTTGATCGAGTAAAAATGCTTTCATACACTGTTTTGAAAAAAGGATGGAAGGAAAAAACAATGTGTTCTCTACTGTTCAAGGATATGTGGAGAGGACCTATCACTGGAATCACAGAGAGAATGGAGGGCTGAGAAGACAAGTTTGATGGCAAACTTTGCTCATTATCAGAACCAGTGAAGGATAGATAAGAATATGCCGAATGATCTGATGGAGCTTGAGTGTTTTCACAGTTGACTTGATGAGGTTGCTGATAGCTGATAAACTTCTTCACACATTGATATATTATTTGGCGGCAGAAAAATTGACATGGCCAATCACTAAGGCTGAAAAATAATGAACTGTTTTGCATAATCACCCAAACCAGCACTAAGTGCTATGTTATATGCTGTATTAAAGTCCTCTTTGGACTTAAGTTGTAACTCCACAAAGTCAACAAGGTGTAGGTCATCAATTTTTCTCATTGTTTTCACATTGTCATTTTCCGAATACTGATGGGTGTTGAGTCCCTGGTGTTGAAGTTCTGGGTTGAAAAAAAGCCTCGGTAATCCAGTTTGGCATTACAGAAGCATATGAACTGCTCATGTTTTGCATAGATGATGCAGATGTTATAATTTGTAGGCATGTGTTTATACTGATGCCATTTACATCATGCATGATACCGGCCTGCAGCACACTTACAGCAGGTATGTTCTTAAAAGCTTTAACGACTATTGTACACATTGACTTTGTTTCAGATGCCTTATCTCTCTTTGGTCTTCGTTTGGTGTGAATTGAGGTGAAATCATTTATAATCAGGACTAAAAGCCACTTGTTTTCAATGGCATCTTGAATGAAATGTTTGAATGATTTTCAGACAACAATTTAGCAGTGGTGTTCACTGTCCTTCTTGCACAAGAGAGACCCATAATGTGCTGTGTATCCATACCTTCTTGATTTAGATTACAACTCCTAAGGTAAAGGGCGGGGTCAGTTTGAAGTGCATTGCATGCCTGACTCAAACAGTAGCAAAGGTTATAAATAACTGACACAGCCCTTCTCTTATTGAGATTAATACGTTCTGTGGAGTGCCTTGCTGATGTAATTGCATCAAGAATGGCATCAAAAATATTTGTTGCCCCTGCTGAGATGCAGAATTCTCTGAACATTTCAGGCTGGTAGATGTGGATTCCCTTGTTAGCAATTAACTTGCTGTATATTTTGTTTTTGACCAAGCTGAGTTCTTGCTTTATGTCATATCCTACAGAATACNGGGGCATTCGCCAGGGGTAGGAGGTTGTGTTATACTAGAGTTTGGGAGCAAATCTAGCCAAATAATTATTAAATTTCAGAGGCTTGAAATTGTTAATTTCTTGCTCAAAATTACACTTCACCTGGGAGCAACTATGGTTGTAAGTTTCTTCTAGCTGGGTTGTTGTTTATACATTATGTAGTTTTGAAGACCTTTTCTCTCGAAATTTAAATTGATCCTTTACTGAAAAGGTTCCTGGCATCGCAGTTTTGTTTATTATTAAAGATGGTGTCTACACTCAACTAATTAATTACACTACTGATGACAGATGAAAGTGGAATTCAAAGGTAGACCAAGCAAGCGATTTTACTTACTTTGCGACAAAATCTTCAAATTTTCCTCCAATTTAAAAAGGTCTCCTTTGGTATATCTACCATCTCTCTATCATTATCTGCACTAGCTAAGACACTAGCTACACACTCAGAACCTGACACTGACATGACCGGTCCTTTTCTCTTCGCAACTCGTCCGAGTTGGTTGAGATTGGACTGAACATACTTTGAACAAAAGATAAATACCAAATTTTAGAAGGATTCTACTCTTCAAGCCCACTGAAAATGTTTGTTTTACATTTTCGTTGAATTGTTTACAAATTAAGTTTGGCAATATCAATGAAAATATAACACTTCTGTAGTTCTGACTGCACGGGGCAGCGTTCAATCTTTATTTCAGCATCACAAGTGTACGTGAGATAAGAGAAATTAAACGCGAGAAAACAAAAACGCCATGAAATGTCTTCCCATTGCTTCAGTACTGTTGGAGAGCCTTTCTGCAGGCTTCCCAAAGGTCTCCCGATCTTGTCTCGAGGAAACCAAAACAAGCTTCCAAGTCGACGTTTGACTGCCTGTGTACAACACGAAATCGAGTTTTCGGAGACTTTTTCCCGCAAATTATACACCCATGCTTCGACCTTTTTACACTTTCTGTGACGTTTACGATAAAAATTAGTGCACACAATTGCAAAACGAAAAACAATTTTGTTTGCACCGCCATTGCACACAACTTCGTGTCAGTTTTCGAAGAAACGCGCGTATTTCGAGCGGGAGTTTGTGAGGGCGCGCACCAGCGGCCAAACTCATCGAAACTTAAATCATGTGCATGCACAGAATTCCTCTACGTGAGAGGTCTCAGATCAGGTCTGCGAACCGGAAGTGCCTGCTTTCCGCGCGCGAGACGTATTGACATACAGCAGACTGTCACCCAGATACTCGGTGTGCTTATAGTGGAGGTTTTGAAAGGAATAGTAACCACTCAGTAGTTTGTATCGAGCTGAGGAGAAGCCATTTGAAAGGTACAGGGCGAGGATAAAAATCGGAGAGAAACACCGCTATAGGTGAAAAAAGGGAACCGTTATTATATCGGAAATTTTAATTAAGCCCAATCATTTAGTATCTTCCGCCTTACTTTACAGCCGCCAAAACATCACTCCACTGTTGCTGAAAATAAGTCATCACAAGCAGAACTTTTTAAAAGTCCCATTCCCATTCTCGCCCACTATCCTTTCTTGTTTCCCACATTTTCTGCCTCTCGATTGAAATCACGTACAACGGAAAGATTATTATAACGGTTCCTTGACTGGTCAAAACAGGTGTGATTAGGATTAGTAAAGTTTTGCTTCGCGGTAGGGAAAGGCCGCAGACGGCCATATGCTGCTTATGATGATAAGGAGATTAAAGTTTCTAGTGACTGGTTTGGATGCGTCTTTGCCATCTACATGGTAATACAACTCTTTGTCCACGTCCGCTTCAAAATTACGTGATTGATATCCGAGTTCCAGTCTCGCAACATCTATAGCCATACTTCTGCAAGCTGGAAACATTTTCCCTAACTGAGAAAGCACTTGATTTTTCAAGAATCAAATTTTAGTTCTATCGCACTCTTACTACTCGTCATCTCATTTCGTATTCAAGTGAAGTTTATTGTACATTTACACTTTTCATAAAAGGAGGAAAGCTAAAACTAATTAAAGATACGAGGTGTAAAGTATGACGATCATATAAAAGCTGACAAGTCTAGTTTTCTAATAGTATTTTTAAAAACCTCGAGAGATCAAAAAGTTCTATATGAGTGTGACCGTATTAAGTTCCATTTTTTTGGCGCTGTAAACCTCCACGACTCTAAACCGTAGGTTAAACTGTTAGCAAAGTGCGTCTCGAATTGCATTTTGTTGTCAATGGTAACACGGCAAGCATTTCGAGACTTTCAGTAGTAGGAATAGCAGTGTTTTCGCAGTAGAATTACGGCATAACCTGTGACTTTCCCATTATTATTGCTTGGTATTTGGAGGTATTTCATTCCGTTTTGCTTGTATTGTTTTGTCAATTAACTATTTGACACGTGATGCCAGAAGATAATTTCTCATTGAAACTGCTTCCTACGCCGGTGGATTGATAAAGAGAACTTTCGGTTGTTTTCAAAATAGCCCCTTGGTTCGCGTAAAATGCAGATCAGTAACCAAATTAACAAACTACGATATTTATCGCTATCAGCACGAAAGGGGTAAACTGTTAAATATAATGCATTTTAGCACTAGCTAAAACAAATCGAGGCACTTTTGTCCCGCTTGTTTCTTCTATTTTTTATTCTAGTTAGATTGTTAAAAGCGGTGAGGGTAAGGGAAGGATGATCCGTGTGGAATGGCCTGTAGCATGACTGACTGTATAAAAATTTATGCCATAAATGACTGGACAGAAGACATGTTATTTGGCACGTTTATCGATTATCCTATGATTTCCAGAACATTCTTGATTAGTCCTTTAGTAAAGTTCCAGTGGTTTCGGCATGAGTACGTGACGTCTATTTATGGAAACTCGAGTTGTTTACCGTAAATTCTGGAAAATGCTATGATGTAATGTTACTAAAAATAGTCGTATTGTAAATCTGTGGAATCTTCTAGAAAGATTGTAGGGAACTATATAAGAAGGTGCCGTAGGTTGTTGCGTTTAGAGGAAAAAGAAGAAAAAGAAGAGAAAAAGATAAAGGAAATAAAGGAGTTAGTGAAAACAACTCATTTTAAGGTTTATCACGAAACCAATGACGTCATAAAATTATTAATCAATCCGCTCTAGATGGCGGTCACAAGGACAACGATAGCTTAAAAAGATAAAATTGAGAAAAGAGAAATAACGTTTTTCATCACGGGTTTGTGAAATTAGCGGCGAAAGTATGGCTTGACTCGCAAAGACCACATCGACAGAACAATTTTCAAATATCACAACAGAGCTGCTAATCACTTCCTTCATTATAAACATTTTGAGCACCTGTCCAATGACATATTACAATTGTCCTGAAAGGTTTCATCGAAATCTAACGATTCACTTCCAGTGAAATTTGCTTACATGTCTTTGAGTCCGTGACGAAAGTGACCTCAAGAAAAACTTTTAACGTCTCGCCCATGCGCTTACGTTCCCTTTCCGAATCTACACCCATCTTATCATATGCTGAATTCAGCTTTACAAGACAGTTTCTTATACCTAATCAATTTCTTTTGCGAAATGGTTCCGTCTTCTTGAAAGAGCATTTTTATTGATTCCTTCACGAAAACCCATAAAGCAAACAAAATTGCCGTAAAGATTTCATGTATGGACCAAAAATTTTGTTGAATCCCTTATCCGAAATATCACCAAAACTGGTCATAGAAATTTGTTTTTGGACCTACGTCAATCCAAATTAGGTCAATCCGCAAGTCATACCACATGCCATTCATCAAAGTCATTTTCCTCTTTTACTTCGACTCGTTTAAAAAAAGTCCAGTTAAGGGTATCATCTTGATTTACCTGTAGAGAAAAACAAATGCAATATCAGCTGTAGATATACTACTATAATAATCAAAAGCTCGTGTGGTCATATTCATTCAAGTTTGGGCTTGACAAACTGAGTTTGTCAATTTAATTTAATTTAATTTAATTTAATCACTTTCACCAGAGTGTGGTGAGGGTCGCACAACAGAGCGAGGCTCCAAACTAAGTGCGCCCTATGTCCCACCAATCCCACCCCAGGGGAGGACATCCATCACACAGTAATCTCGTGTGTGGGAAATTAATGTCTCCTACCCCAACCCTGCAGGAGACGGGACCTCCATTTATTCGTCCCTATCCGAGAAGACTAGAATATCTAACCATTTCTTGATGTTATAGAAAGGTAGCAAATTCTTCTCAATTATTTTAAGACCCTGAGTGTTGGTCCGGCCGGGGCTCGAACCCTCGACCTCCCGCACAACAGTCCAGCGCTCTATCCATTGAGCTAACCGGGAGGCGGTGTCCGAATTAAAGCTATGATGGTAAAAAGCGTTGAAAGACCGATCTCGAATCCCACCCTTCTGATATATTGAGGTACTTTAGCATTCACAGCTCTACTCTCACGATAGAACACCGAAGTTATCTGTCTTTAGTTTTAATCAGCTAGATTGTTGATAGGAAACATAAATCGCAATCCACCTCGAAGTCCGATTCCGGTTTCAAATCGAAGTCAAAATTGAACTCTCTCTCCAATCCAACCTCGAACATGCCTTATGAAAAGTAGTGATGGCAAAGCAAGCCCAAAACAACAGAAATCGCCAAAAACCACAACCACAAAGAGTGAGTAAGTTTGATTAATCCTTCATGTAAAATGTTTATATTTCGGAATATTTAGAGTTTTAACTGGACCATATTTCGCTCCCCATACTATCCTTGTAACGCATTCAAATTCTCAACGGTTGCTCGCCGGTCATGTTAAAACGCAGACACCACATGACGTAGTTTTCAGAGGTTATTTCGAGCTCAGGTCACCTAGCAACAATTTGGACGAAATCCCAAGGCTCAAAGTTATCGAGCGCGTAGTGGGATGGAGATCGACGAGAGAAGATTGTATTTGAATTTGCTCTTGTGTTGAGATGAATTTTAGTTTTGTCATATACTTTTGTTAACTCTTTATTTCTGCATTGAAGACGGTAAGAAATGGGCTGCCTGGACGAAGCAAATCTGATTACCAGAATCTTCACAACACGATCCAACGAATTTTATAGCAAATAAAGTGCTTTTACTCGGAAATAAGATCGTGCCCATATACTTGCACGCTATTTTTTTGATAGGACATTGCCATACAGATGAAACATTGATTCATACATTTCGCGGAAGCTCCTCTAAATAAGAATTTTCATCAAAATTAATGATAAGTAAATATATATATATATATATATAATCATGGGTGTACTGTATCAAAGGGTGATTTAGTAAGTAACAAATAATCCCCCCGTCTGCACAGTCTCCACAGTCTGCACAATCTGCATGGTCTGCAGTCTGTAGTCTGCGTTTTAACATGACCCCCCCTGAGGTTGTTCGCCTAACTTAACACCGCGCCGCACAACGACTGACCCTTCATGAAATGATCCTTCGATTTTACCCGAGACATGAGCTTGGGACGCATGTGATGAGCTCAGAAAAAAGATAGGAAGTGCTCTATATTACTTTTCTGCAATAATAAGGGGTATAGCGGTACAATAAATGATAGACTTTTGATCAATTAGTGCACACATAGCTTAGACGTTCTGGAAACGATATGATAGCATATCTAACCTAATATAAATTTACGTACCTACAATCGATTTCTAGAGAAGGACTATCCGGGTATGCCGCAGCAGTTTTTACGTACTTTTTGTCACCATATAGGCATTTTGCGTCGGCGATCAGTGGATCTACGAATTCTTTGAGGATATCATGGACTGTGAGATCTGGGATGCAATACCACTTTTCTTGACCTTTCGACTGCGGCAATTGAACATTTTCGCAGTACTTATCGAAAATTTTCTGTTGTGAGTTTATCAACGTTATACGATTAAGTGGATTTTCAAGGCCCGTGATGTCACTGCACTGAGCTGTCATCGTCGTGTTCATGGGTGTCAAAAGGAGTACTGTTGGATCATCTCGCCGTGGACATCTGATCTGAAGGCAAACAACCGAGACATTTGGAGAAATTTTTTCTTCGTTATCTTTTTCTACAACTGCAGTGGACATTCTGAGATGAAAGCCGTAGTTTCCAGTGCGATTAGTGTCCATTTTACTATAGCTGGAAGCCATCATCATTAACTTTCCTCCATTGACGATTTTAACTTTAATTAAACAAGTTGCGGCGTCTTCTCCACCATAATCGTAATACCATTCATTACGACTTCGATAACTGAGCAATTGGTATTCCTTTTTAATAAGGGGAGGTGGTTTAAATGTAAACTGTATGGAATATGCGCTATTCAGAGGTGCGCGACATGTGTTCATCTCTGTTCCGCTGCCTCCAGTATCATCATAATAAATAGGCCCTCTCGGTTTTACAAGGCTGCTCTTGAATCTGAAAGAACTTATGTTGCTGATACCACCATTGTCCACGAACGATTTTATACCATAAGAATTGACGTGACTGTAGTCCGCCGATGGATCAGGAATGTAGTACATATTATCTTTTTCAGCTTGAACAAGACAGATAGTGTCTTTCCAAATTGGAATGCATGCTACACCATTCCTAATCGGGGCCTCAACATACCCGTGGTGATCTTCACGAATAACTCTCACTATGACACCCGTTTCATCATCTTTGGTTGTTGTTACTCTTAAACCAACTCTTTGTTTTGGTTTATCAAAATTGAGGTTTCTCTTGGCGATGGAAGGGGTCACAGTTCCAGCAAGAAATATACGATTAGAACGTTTACGCCTTCGTTTGTCTCCATCTTTGAGAAAAAAATCTCCCGCCTCCCTCCATCGTCCTGTTTTTCTGTCTAACCAGTAGAGTTTTATGGATACATTACCATCAGACAACGACAAATTGAGCTTTCCTGGATCTAAGTACACGTTCATAGGTTTTGACACGGAGAGTGGCTTGCCATTGTCATCTTCCAGATTAAGCTTAATCATGCCGAATGTTTCAAGTATTTCCTCATCGCCATCCTCGCTAATCGTTGAAAAATCTCCAGGAGCAGAATCGATATCAGACTGATTGCGGGGATCGGCAATGCTGAGACTAACCTTGGCATTTCCTTTAAAGACAGATCCATCTTCAGCTAAAAGGGAGTTTTCTGGTAATTCAAGGTCAGCAAAGTTATCCGCTGCACCGCCCAATGGCAAATCAAGTGGCTCAGAAGCATTAAAAGAGATAGGTTCTGGTTTAGGTCTCAGCTTAACTCTATATGTTGCCATCTCTCCTTCACTTAACAAAAAAATTCTGGTTTCCTCTTCATACCTTTGATTTACCAGGTCTTTAAAAGTAACTACAGCCCTTTTCGTAGATCTTGGAACGATAAATGAGAACATTCCATTTGAGTCAGTCTTGCCAACTGATTGCTCACCAAAGAACACATCCACTGAAGGGACCCTTCGTCCGCCTTCACTAATGGCGATGCCTTCTACAATTGCTTGTTGCTTTTTACAGTTTCCACAAGCACACGTTTTCACCTTAAAGATGTTAAACGACATTAAAGCCCCACACTGAACTGAAACACTTTCATAGGAGAGAGGCCCACAACAAAGCGAAGGACCCGAGCAGGACGCACTTACGTTAAGAGCTCTCTTTATACATTTAGCAGGTTCACATTCTCCTACGTCCACGATAGAAGACTGTGTGCCACTCACAACGCAACCAGAGGGCAATGTAGTGTTCTTGGAATTTGGCTTCGAGGAGCAGGAGTCGTCTGAATTTTCTATATCAAGAGGAAGTACCTGTTTACACCGCGGTATAATGAAGAGTGATCTAGATAAAAATCATGACAGGACGGAAAATGCGTGCACTGTAAGTACCTCCCGTTGTCCCATACAAAGCCTTAGAAAAGTTTTCTAAGGCTTTGTATGGGACAACGGGAGGTACTTACAGTGCACGTATTTTCCGTCCTGTCATGCGCCAGGAAATCAAAGCTAATTTAGTGGGTGTAAAATCACTGAGGCAAAACATATTAAGTCTCCGGGAAAATGAAAAAGAAAAGTATAGCTACCGCAGATCAATAAACACCTTGCTATTTGGGCCTTAGCATAAATATAGAGGCGGTTCCTCTTATATCAGCAAACGCTGAGAGTTGAATAGGACCTCTAGCTTCAAAAACTAGATACTAGGAGTTTGACCTCAAAATATTTGACCAATTGGCTATTTCAGTGTTCATCACCAAAGGCTCTAAAGGGAAGCTCACCTATTAAATTCAATTCAGCTGGGTTAGAGAACTCCGAGCCAAAATCGTTTACCATTCGACAACGGAAAGTTCCATTTAGACCGGTCACGTCACTTATTTCAAGGGTGTTATTGTAGGTAAACATTTCTTTGTCGATGATGTTATTTTCTTTAAACCTAGAAAAAGAGGGAGACAAAAGGCTCAGTTCATTGCTTCAACTGCCTCTCGTAAGATAGCGATTCTAATGGAGGGAAGTAGCTGGAATGGGCAAGAACATCGCCACCTAAATGTAACTAGTTTTCCCTAAGATGCATATAGAGTTTGAAAACCACTAAAAATGGTCGAGTGCCTGGTGCTTAGGTCCTGAGGAGCGAATATTAAGTGAAAAACTGAATGATAAGTGTGAAACAAATTATAAAACGCCTGATTTCCTCGGGGTACAGGAGACAGTTCATTGGTAAAACGACCTATCGTTTTAAAATCGGTTGTTGTTTCTTTATTATCATACTTATTTATTGACGTACTCACCATTCAACTTCTGGTGGGGGATTTCCATCACCGTAGCAACAAAATGTCACTCTTTGACCAGGCATGCGAATCTTGCTTTCTGGATGGACTGTTACGAATGGTGGAACTGCAGCAGACCGAGAAAAAATAACGAAGTTTATAAAGCATGAAGCGTGCAAAGCTCATAAAGAGGCCTTACTAAAATTTTCCTTCAAGAATAGGGCCCAGGGAGTAGATTTCATGACTTCATCTCGATTCGCAACCTTGCAAGCCATTCGACGAGCGCAGCTATTGAAATACAGATTACATCATTACGTGTTTTGTTAAGGCAGGGTCTAGTGATAAGGGGCGCAGAAGCGGATGTCCCTCAGAGTTGCTTTGTTCTGTGAAGAAGTCTTTGGTGAGCTTCTCAGAGCTTCTACTCTTCATTAAGACCTCAATGCAAGAGAAAATGCTCACATTTTAAGTGGCTTTGTACTACTCAGAAAACTAAGCGCCAGGGATATGGAAGTACTTGAAGCTATGTGATGTACCCTATTCAGTGTTTATCAAAATTTTACAAAAAAAGCTCCTAAATTGAAAAACAAGTTGCTACACCAACTGGTGTGTACTCTGTGTGCCGGGGTATTGCACTAGCAAAACTTGTCTCGTTCCTTAAAAAATGCCGAAATAATTAAGATGACTGTCTTGTCTTTAATTTGTCTAAATTATCTAGAATATAAACATCGCGACTATAGCAGGTGGGCGTTTACATGTCTTAACGAATTCGCACCACTCGGCTAAAGGAGCGATTAATACAGTAATACCAAAGGAGGATTAGTCAGGTATCCCACAATTCCACGCTTCAAACTGTATTATCAGTTCGCTCCAGTCACGTAATCACTCAGTCGAGATGGAGGTAGTTGAGATCTACAGCGAAGTGCTCTGGCGTTCGCCACTAATTTATGTCAACTGCTTGGATTTGGATAGTCAGATTTACATCAAACTTTCCAATTTGGCTTGTTGTCCGAAACTTCCAGGCTTCTCATTGTAATATTCTTTCAATTTACCCAAACAGCTAGAGGATGAAAGCGAAGATCGAAGACGTTCAGTGATTATAATCTTCGACTTCGATTGCGTCGAAAATCGGTCTCTTGCCGCTTCGGATATTCGACCATATGACGAATATGAAGAAGATAACAACATCCCAGAAATGCCCTGGCTAAACTTACGAGTCTCAAATTGTACTATTGCAGTTGCTACCCGACGAAAGGAAAAATCGCTGTGAAAAGCCAGTCTTCTGAAGAAGTGGCAAGCAACTGGAGTTACCAAAATAAATAAAGAAAACACTCCATCACAAGATACTAACCTTAATTCGGGAGCAAACCTTTACACAGATGTACTAAAAGGGGTATTTAATACAGTTAGCAAAGGCTATGATCGATCAAAAGCAGGTTGGGTGATACACCAGTCGAGAAGAGAAGTCAAAATTTCGGCGCCAATTTAAACAATTTTCAACGGCCACATATTCCTACAGATTTGGGGACTTAAGGGGACCTTTGCTAATATTGAAAAGTGCCATTATTCAGGCACCACCAGGCGGAATAAAATGCTTAAGTACTCCCCAATAATAGCACAACAGGCAAATATCTATCAAGCGTTAGAGTAAAGCGCATAAATAAAGCCACTCAGTCGTGCATACCACTCATAACAAAGGCGTATTTTTCCATTTAGAGAAGAGTAAGTTCAAGTATTAAACTCCTAAAGTCAACTTAACTGTTACAAGAATACATAAAACCGTTCAAATCACCTTCCGTGCTCCTGAATAAGGACAAACAGCCGTTTAAAATTCAGTCGAGTCTCTAGTGCGTGCACTCGAATTCGATGCAATGTGACACCTTCTCATCGATAATAACGCACAAGGGCTAATGATATACCCGACTGATCCTCGTTTTGTAATACCCAGACTTAACATCATGTTGGGGTGGTTGGCAGTATACCTACATGATATAATCCGGTTGGATGAGGCTTAGAGTCATAGCGTGAAACATGAATTTAAAGAGAGCGCTTTGTGGTTCGGAAGACGCAGCGAAAATTTTCTTCCCTGGGCATTGACCACGCTTATGAACAAAAGAAAAAGCCTGTGAAAGGTAGGTATATTAATTTCCTGACTAACACGACTACTTAGCCCGATCAATAGACTTGATTAGATAATTTGGCACCCACCTACCTAGCGTCCCGATGAATTCCTTTTTCTTTAGCTCTATCACCTTTTACATTTGTTATTTGGCCTTATTTGCTTTTTTTAGGTGTATTTCCAAAGCGGATAGTGGTGCTGTGGGATAAGCAGAAAGCTATGCTCAGTTCCTGAAGTGTATGGTGTCAGGTCCTGAGGTCGCCAGGCTCATTACCGAGTTTGAGTCAATGTAGATGCCATTAGGACAAACTAGAGCAAGGGCCCTGATGTTCACCATCATGAGCAAGTGAAGAGTGTTCAAGAAAAGTTCCAGAAACAGGTTAAAGCTCTTGTTGAGACAATGGAAACCCTAGCAAATCTCTTTGAAGAAATTGTTAATAAGCAAGTGGTAGCCACAGTAAATATGACTTAGAAGGCCAGTCAAGAGCAATTTCTGGTGTTTGTCGAGGGACGCCTTTTAAAACGCAAGGAAGAAGTTACGGAATGATGTATGGAAACCCTCAAATGAAAAGCAAGGCGTTACCTCCCTTAAGAAGAATTTTATCCTGTTTTCCCAGTTACATTCCTTGTGAGGTGTGTAAGGTAATTTGGAAGAATTCAAGAATTTCCCCTGTCCATCTCCACCTTTCGTGACCTTTGTATTGGCGTGAAATCAGACTTTTTGAAATGCCCAGACAGCCTAACGACGAATCCATCTATCACACCAATGGTGGAGGGAATGCTTATCGATCAACCAAGTTTATTTGCCCCACATCAGTGGCAGTTAGAGAGTGTGCAGCGAGTTGACATCATCTGGGATAGATACATTCAGAACAACTTGAAGGCCCAAACTCGTAGCAAGCGTGGAAAGGGGGTCTGTCGCAGAGTGCAAGGATATGCAAGACCTCCGGCTAATTAGGGAGAATTTCTAAAGGTTGATTCCGACAAAAGAGAGCTGTTCTCATATTTAGCTGATCAGTCGACCGCTTTGCAGTGTGAGGCAACAAACTGTGTTATTACCACAAGTGGCATTCAAGTGTTGTCATCTTCTTCTTTTGCTACGCCACATGTATCACCTTGCATGCATGAGTAGGCTGACACAAAGCTGGTGTTGCTTGCATCTGATTGTGCAAACCGAACTGTTTACAAAATTATGCTTCGAACAGTAGACACTGATGTCGTAGTATTTGCTATTTCGACCTTAATCGTTTGTTAGTAAGTGAGATGTAGGTCGCTGGTCGGAAAGCAATTAAGATATAATGCAATACATGACATCGTCAGTGCACTTGGGAATGAGAAATCACACATGTTGCATGTTTTGATGCTTTTGCAGGGTACGATCAGACATCAGCATTCTTGGCAGTTAGATGAGGGAAAAGTACAGCATGGGCCACATCCACATCCACAGGGATGTCTTGGGAAGAAGCAACTGCGACATTCGCGTCCCTCAATCAAAGTCCCACCATGCAGGATGTCCTAGCTGCTATGACCGTTCTCGAGAAATTTGGGGTTCTGATGTATGACCGAGAAAGCCAGTGCTACAGAGTAAACGATGTCAGAAAACTGCTTTTTGCAAAGATGAGAAGAACCCTAAAGAACATCCCCCACTGCTGTTGCATTATTATAGGACGCAAAGAGAGTAGCCTACCAGGCTGGAAACTGCAGAGGGCAGTGTTTGGTCAGTCTGTTCCAAACTCCTACCTTCAGCTAGTGAATGGGCATGGACAAAGTCCACGTGGTATACACGGCAGCCTCAGTGCATTTCGACTGGTAAAACGTGGTTGCAAAACCGAGAAAAGTTGCAGAGGAAGGTGAAATTGTGCAAAAGCTGGAATGCTTTGTGCTGCAGTTTGCAAATGTGGTGGTGACTGCGAGGAAGAAGAATGAATTGTTTCACAAAGATTAATTTGTATTAATGATTCATAGGTGATACCAGCAACAGCTTCACCTCGCACATGATGCACAGAGAACTGCGCTTCCCTAAGTACCTCAGGTTACAATTATAGGGACCATGTGCGAAGCTCTTAACAAAATTCCTGTCGCTAGAAAACTGTTAGGAGAGTTCCACAAACCCTTATACGACTCAAAAAGCACCTGAGAGGCACTATGAAACAGAACCACAAAAAAAATGCCCCCTGGTACGTTTTAACAAATCGAATACGGACACACTCGATACCGTAAAGACTGCAAAGAGGTTTGCCTGCACCAACGAAAAACGGATATGGCGTTTTGGGTATTGATCAATATCTTAGCACGGCCAAGGGCGCAATCGCAAAATAAAGTGACAAAAAATATATATATTCTATCGAAATGTAACTCCTGTGTTGACGTGATGGCGCTATGGGAAAAGTAACGTGGTATGAGGGCACAAAATGGTAGTTGCGATGGTTCCAAAAAGATGGAACTAGACACTTGGTCTATTCTTGTTGGCTGAAGATTTCCGTTAAAGACCAATACAGCTGTTCATAATTACAACCTTAGTGGCTTACTTTATCATCATTATTTTTCTTACTAAGTTTGTGCTTCCACATTCCTCCTAAGACTATATACCCAGAATAATGTTGGCAGAAAATGCATGTGAGTGATGATGACGATAATGAGGATGATATAAAATCACAATACTGAAAGGTCTAAGGGAAAGCGAAGGTGGAAAGTTTGACGAGGATTAAAACCAAGCAAGACGGATTTAGAAAATGTGGAAACTCCGTTCCAACGCTATAATTGTAACCACTAAATGAATGATGATAATAATAATGATGATGATTTTGATTATGATCATTGCAATTATTATGTTAGCAATAATGACATTGATTATGAAAACAATAATTTTTGATTCGAACAAAAGTGAGATCCAAATATTGGATCAATGCCCTTTCATCTCAAAGCCCGTCTGATTTGGCGATACATGCTTATTAAGGGAAAGGGGATAAATCGGTATTAAAAATATTTTGGCAAGTTACAGAGGCAGGTGATCATTAGATCGGCAAAATATAAGTAGAAAACAGGAATGTAATATTCTTGAAGTACGTCGCAGTGCCGTGGGGATTCGACAATTGAAGATGAGAAAGCTTTCTTTTTGCAGAAAATGTCTGGTCGTGGATAATTTCACAGAGTAACAAAAGATCTAAAAGCATAGGTGGAAGTGACCTACAAACTAAAAGTGCACGTTACCCTTTGCCTTGTGGTGGATTGTAAGGCTACCAACTCCGTGGATAGCTTTAATGATGATGATAATGACAAAGATGATGATGATGATGATGACGAGAATGTCATTACTACCTGTGTTTGTGGTCCTTGAAAGAGTAAAGTTCAAATTGAATCATGAAAGCATTCCCTGTTACTGACACCATAGTTCTGATGGCTTTCGTTGATAAAACTAAGGAGGAAACTAATTTTTAGAATAGAAAGACTGACCTACCTGCAATTTCCATTTTGGCAATAATCGTAGCGGTTGTTGGCGTCGTAACATTTGCTACTAGTTTCACAGGGACAAACCCTGATTTTGTTACTAGAAGCTGTTGTTTGATTGCACAAACTCCAAAAACTGAAAAATGTCCGCTGATGTTCGCCTGGGCAAGAATGTTGTAAGGTGTTTCTGCCAATGATATGTTTGCTTCTGACAAAGGTGCGCCATCGTCTGTCAAAACTCGTCCAGTGAGTTCGTGATGATCACATGTGCATGCGTCACATGCAGTGTTCAGTGTTCCAATTGAACAGTTTCTTGAACAATCTAAGGAAAAATATATATGACCCTGAGGGAATCTTATTTGTAGGATTATCTTCAAAGGTAACGTCTTAATCTTTTGTATATTGGTAAAACCTATGTCAATGACTTGCTATACTTTTAAAACGCGACATAAAGGCCTTTTGCTGGACATTACAGAGGTGAAATGTGACTAACTTAACCTTAACCTTAACGCAGTTGAAACTTTTAGCTGACTGCTGAGAATATTTTGAAAAAAAAAAAAACCTATATAAATCAGTTAAATAAGCTGCCTAGAGTACTTAAAATGATGCGATGATAAATTTTGACCCGAAAATTTGCTATTGTAGGTATTCTCAAATTGGTGAACTGAATAAGTTAGATATCCCGAGAAATTTTCCTGGATTTCATCGGATTTCTAGACTCTTTTAGAGAGAAAGTGTTTTATTTTGAGATGACTTCTTCACAAAATCAAGACACATATTGGTTAAGAATGCAATTCACAGTCCTTGGTGAAGATTTATGTTAGAGAGAATTAATACGTAGAAACATGCCTATACCTGGACAGCTCCATTCTGCACAAAATTTGACCTGGTTAGATTTACCAGCACACGAAATTGGAGCAAAGACTGCTTTATCATTGATGGCCACGCATGTTCGGTTTCGATATCGTGTACCAGTGCCACATGTTCTAGTGCAGTCACTCCAAGAGCTCCAACGAGACCATTTGGATTCTGAGGTTACGACATATATATATGATCAGTGGCCAGGTAACAGCTGAACTTAAGGGTAAAGATAAACGGTACCATAAAAAGGGAAAGTAACACTGAAAAATAATGAACGCTGAAATAGGCTCGTTTATGGTGGCCGATAACTGCCATTAAAAATATTCAAATTTTATAGGAATTATTTTTGTTATTTTCTTTTTAATTTCGATTTATTTCTCATTTTTCTTTTTGAAATAAAAGCAAGTGAAAGTAAGATTCAAAATAGAAATGAAATGAAACCAAAGATAAATGAAATCAAATCAAAATTAAATACTACCCGGCCGAGCACTGCCACTAGTT